TCCTTGATGAATAGCCTCCTCTATTTCCTTACTTTCGAGAGTCCCCTCACAATCTTAAAGGTTTCCAGTAAGTCTCCCCTTAGTCTTCTCCTTTCTAGAGAGAAGAGTCCCAAGTCTTTTAGCCTGTCTTGGTATGACTTACCCTTTTGACCTTCAACCATTCTGTTGGCTAGTCTTTGGACTTTCTCTAAACATGCTGCATCCTTTTTGAAGAAGGGCGCCCAAGCCTGCACGCAGTACTCCAAGTGCAGCCTAACCATGGCTTGGTACAATGGAAGGGATATGTCGGGTTTCCTACACGCTAGTACTGATTTGAGCCTAAAGAGCTCTCTCCTCGCCCTCGCCACAGCCAGCACACTGGTTCTTCCAGCGGAAATCTGCCATCATCGATATACCCAAGTCTGCTGATTTTTACAATCCCTGCAGTGCAATCCTGTCCACCTAGTTGGATTGACAATTTTTCATCACTACGGGAAAGTAAATTACTTTTCTCTGCATTCAGTGGGAGATCCCATACTATTGCCCATTCCGTTGGTCTACGCAGGTTGTCTGATCCCACTATCTTGACATCATCTGCAAAGATGGAGCATGGCGAACGTAGGATGGCAGCCAAGTCGTCTATGAAAATGAGGAACAGTAAGGGACCAAGCACTGACCCCTGTGGTACGCCACTAGTGGGTATGACTTCTGCTGATACTTTGTCTTCAATCCTTTCGTAAAACGTGCGATCGGTCAGGAATTCCCTGATCCAGTTATGTATTTTCCCGCCTATCCCCTTGTGTTTTAGCTCAACTAACAGCAACCCGTGGTTGACGGAATCAAAAGCTTTGCAGAAGTTTGAATAACAGACTTCCACAGCTTTGCCCTCATCTAAACTAGAGGTTACTTCATCCAAAAAACACGGTAAGTTAAATAAGCATAATCAACCTTTGGTAAACTCGTGCTGTTGATCAGTAAGCAGCGAGTTTCGGAGTAAACGCTGCGCAATGTGCGTCCCCACTATTCCTTCTAGGCACTTGCACAATATACTCGTTAGGCCCACCGAACTGTAATTCTTAATCGGCGGTTGTGCTCCTCCCTTGTGAATGGCAGCAACTGCAGCTGTTTTCCAGTCCCTCGATAACTTTTCCTGATGTAGGCTGGCTTCGTATAACTCCCTTAGCGGTTTCGCTACTATATCCGCGATGGGCTTTACGATTGCCGGGCGAATTCCTTCGTGCCCTGGAGACTTACGTTCAGCTCAGCTTATATCCGATGAACTGCTTCTATTGACACATAAGTATTCTCTGTTTCCTCTGTTGGGGGGGGGGGGAGGGGGGATCCGGTAGTGTCAGGTCGCCGCGATCTACTCTGTGCACACTACTGAAGTATGTGAAGAAGGCGTCTACCTTTTCCTGGTCGTCAATGACGGTCCTACCCGCCAACTGTAGAGGTGCCATCATCCTTTTATTAGAGCCCTTGGCTTGAGCAAAGCTGTAGTAGCGTTTCGGCTCCTTGGCTCGGCTGACTAGCTTTACCTCAGTCCCTTTTACTCTTTCTAATGAGCGAGACTACTTCCTAACGATGCGTCGTGTACTGTCTCGAAGTCATTTAGGAACCCGAAGCTCGAGGATCTTTCCAGCTTCAATTTCTACGTTTAATCGCCTTACTTAAAGCAGCGTGCCACCATGGCGGTTTCTTCCTTAAACCTCTGTGGGTTAAGGGAGCAAACTCATCTTTTATGTTAAAGTCACGTCAGGTCAGGTCAGATAAGGTTGCGGAGAACGGTGAAGGCTTTCGCCAGCCGAGCTTCCAAATTCTTGCTCTAGCCGGAACCACATTCTTTTGGAGCTTCGACTTCTTGTCAACCGTTTGACTACAACCGATTTCTTCGTCCGGAACAGCTTCATTTTGTGGGTCGGTATCTGTAAATGGAGGTTTTTCGAAAATAGGCAGCATGGGACACACCGTTTGTAGTAAGCACCCTACGAAATCTCTCGATAAATGCTGGTCCGGACCCCGTCTAGTTGCCCTTTGAACTCATCGACTATTCTACACTCAAATAGTAGTTGGTTCCACTCATGTATCACTCCTGAAGAAGTTGTACCTAAGGTTGAGTAGGCTACTGGGCTCCATTAGCTTCAAATGATGCCCCTTGTTGACTCACGCGATGCTCGGGTAAACAGGCTGTCCGCCTCTAGCCCAGTCAGCGCCTTCATTATTTTGAAGAAGAATCCAGTCGAGATAGCTTTCGCTTTGTAATTTAGGCACCTACATCTCACCCAGTGCACACATCACGGATGAAGTGTCAACTCGCATACAGAGGGCTCGGTTGGCATTTGCCAACTTGAGACATCTGTAGCGCCGTCCGGACATCCGGTTGTCTGTGAAGGGTCGAGTGTATGCCGCGGCAGTTCGGTCAGTTCTGCTATACGGAGCAGAAACTTGGCCATTAAGAAAACAAAATAAAGACAGACTGGCACGCTAACTCAGATCGACCACATAGCAGCAAGCTACCGTT